CGTCAACCTTTTTTTTTTTTTTAAATGAAATGAGGGAGGAGGAGGAGGAAGAAGAAGAGGAAAATTTCGTGGGATGGAAGAAGGGTATTCTGATTACACCTCAGGTAACAGTCTTCTTTTCATTCTTTATAGTTTGTATCATCCTGCGAAAATCCCTCAAAACAAAATTTGTTAGCTGAAATCTTTTTAATGGAATGCCTAGGTGATATGATATACTGTAATTTCTTCGAATAAGTTACTGATTCATAGCCAAGAACAGTGGGATTTTTTTTACTGATTCATAGCCAAGAATAGTGGGATTTTTTTTTGTGTCCAGTGCTTTGTAATTGCTTGATCCTTTCCCAGCTGCATATCTGTTACTGGTGTTCATTTACATAAAAATATTCCTTGGCTTCTTTTATTGATATCACTGCTTATTTTCCAATGCTAACAGTTGCGCTAAGTACATATTTAAAGCCATCCAATCACTATTGTCAATAAGTAAAATACGGTTATTTTTAGTGGTCTATTCAATACTGACCATTGGGTCAGTAATAGTTCACATTGTTGATATGCCTTTTCTTATACTAAAACTTTATTAGAATCTCTCCATGTATTAGTTAAAAAATGCTTTACACAAAGTGAAAATTTCAGCCTTGCTAATAGGCTATATTCTTCAAATCTGTTCCATACTAGAATCCTTTAATTATACTGAAATAAGAATGCATTTGTAGATTCTATGGGATTCTGAGGAAAGTTTCATTCCGCAAATGAAAAGATATTTTAGGATACATATATTACCTCCTATTCTTCTGTCCTAACACTAAGGATGAAATCTAACAGGAAGGTCAGGAAATGCTCAGGAGAACCTGTTGTGTTCTTTTTATTCTGTGTTCTTTTTATTCTGAATTTCAAACATATTTTATAACAAATTTAAACGAAACATTGAAATCCTTCTAATAAAATTTCCTCTTAACAATCGATTTAAACGAAGAAAGGATGTAATCAGTATTCTATCGGCGATACATACCGGAAATGTTATGTTACAAAGGATTATTTGCATGTATGATTGTTTTATATTTTTTCTTCTACCGAATTTCTGTTCGTTTAAAATCGTGCCATGTTGATCTTCCTTTGATAGAACAACGATAAATTTATCACTCTGAGAACTGTGTGAACTGATAACCTTGTCAGAAAATCCAGTCGCTTAAGCATATTTCTTCATAAATACGATCAACTGATTAAGCATCTTTCTTCATCATCCGGTCAATTGCTTAAACATCTTTCTTCATCATCCGGTTAATTGCTTAAGCATCTTTCTTCTCATCCGGCCAATTGATTAAGCATATTTTTTTATCATAAGGGCATAATATATGCACGATGTCTGAACAGTAAATTCTATATAATCACATCACATATGTAATCGTATTACCTCACATTAAATGAGCCATAGATTAAGCTAACGCTCAATATGTGAATGATGACAAATGTCGTAGAAGTCAGGTCAGGAATGACTAATTTAGTTCAACTCAACCCAATAGTTACATGCGAGTTCTTCCAACATTGTATGAATATAATTAATATGGAAAGGTCGTGCTATTTTTATGTAAAATTTGCGTATATGAATTGAAAATTTTCCAATTAAATAGTGATTATTTCTCTGTCTAAACTGGAAAAAGAGAGAGAAAGAGAGCGATGAATAGTTAAGGAGAAAGAAGTATATTAGTCTAGGCTTTTTAATAAACCAGTAGTAGTACGCATGCTAATTCGATTACTCCTTTTGGAGAATTGATGTATTTGGATTCAGTGTATGTGGGAATCGTTGTATATGATGCATGCTAGGATGTATGTATGTGTGTATGTGTGTGTGTGTCTGTATGTCTGTGTGTGTGGATACATCTGGTTCTATATATGTCCGATGTATGTGAAGCCTAGTTCTTTGTATGTCGATTTAGGCTTGTCTCTCGGTGTATCCTTGAGCCTCATCTATACATTTTGGCCATGATGTCTTCTGCAAATCTCATCCATATTTCACTCAAATTCATCTCTCTCAAATTTCATTCATTCACTAGATTAGCAAAAAAACTTACATTGAAATGTGTCCCATAATCCAATCAATAGTCCGAACTTGTAGATTGTCCCCTAATTCAATCAATAAGATTAATTTAACTTATAAGATTAACTTTATTCTTCCCGAATTCAATCGCTAATCTTCAACTTGTAAGCTGTTCTTTCTCATTATTCTTGAGTTTCATACCTTTTCTTGTCTTATTCTCCTCCATGACTCTTTCGCTTTTCTATAACTGTCATCCGTACTATATACTCACCTTGCTTTGCTCTATCAATGGATTATCTCAAAAAAAATTCGCAATTCACAATTTCTGGAATCTCAGAACCGTCGCTTTTCTTCCTTATCCTTCCCGTCTATTTTACTCATTTATATTTTGTAAAATTAAAAGAAAAAAAATCAATAAGTCAGTTTTAGAATGAAATAAAATTAAAGTCATTTGTTAGATGCTAATCAGTCTCACCGTTTCACTTCCACCCATCTTCAGTCCACTTCTTTTTTTTCATCTTTCGCATCTGCTTTGAAAATATATCATAATTATCAAATTAGCTCATTATGATGACATATCGGTGTATGCAATTTGTTTTAGCCTTTTGACAATTGATGGTCGAAAAAAATTCGTTGGTTTGTAAACTCTCGAAAGATCCAAAAGTGAAATTTTTGATTCTTTTTCAGATCATTTGAAGGGTAAAGTTTAGAGAATGCGAATTATGTGATTTTTATGTGAGAGGGTGAGAGAAAAACGAGTAAAACTTTTGTTGTTTCGAGGAACCGCGGGAAGGATGGAAAACGAAACGAAATGACTGATACTGGAAATGGAAGAAGCTCACTATGATACTCCCTGGGAGTTCCTGCATCGTACCGCTTCATTTCCACCGCGGTAAATTGCTTATTGTTCGGTAGAGTGATACAGAAAATTATTTTTCCAAAATATTTCATATTTGATGTCCCATTCAGATGTGCGAGGGAGAGAGGTAAGTCTTGCTTTACTTCCTGACATCTTGTGAGAATCTTGAATTTGTTGCTCCTGTCATTGTCGCATGATATTGTGTTTTATTCAGAGAACGTCCTCACTCTGACTCATCAGAGTTACTGTTGGGGAAAAGATTAGAACGCTGCTTACGTATCCGTTGCTGTGAAATTGCAGAACAGCAAACGTCGTCGTCTTCGTGTCACTCACCGACTGTCAAACATAATCATGCTGTTATCAGGCAGGTCCGGCTAGTCGATTGTTCATTTTATCTTACTACCAAAAATTTGTATGAGAAATCAAATAGGTGAATTTTTAGAAATGTAAGACGTGAAAGTGAGTATTGTTATTATTTTAGATTTAGACGAATTTGTAAAATTAAGAAGTTTTGACAGGAAAGTTTCAATAGCGATCATGGTATGAGTATTGCAGAGAGCTACTCCGACGCAACTACTTGAATGTGATCCAAGACGAGCCTCGAGTACTGAGCTCGAACGTGGTCGTTTCAAATTCGGTATTAGCAGGTTACGAGGTTAATTTTTAGTTTTAGTTGTTTTTTGTAATTATGCTTAATGTAATTTTGAAATGAACTTTCCACTATGTGAGAAAACAATTAGTGCGCTTATTGATTTAAAAAGCTATTTAATTATATTCCTGAAACAGTTTGAAGGTAAGACATTCTATCATCAGTATTTTATATCAAAATCTTCAAGAGAAGTTTTTACATTTTGAGAAATTTTGAGAAACGAGGACTAAAAGGATGTCAAAAAGAGGAATAAAATTTAAAACGAGAATTTTGTCAGAGCGTACAAGTGGACGGGATTCACGGCGAAGTCGTTACCGCGAAGAGGAAATCATTCACAAGGGTATTGACCGGGTCGATGCGGAACGACAACTTGGTGACCAGGATATAGGCGCATTTTTGATTCGAGTCCGCGATAATGGAACGCTAGCATTATCGCTAAGAGCCAATAAAGGTGTACTACATATTAAGCTTGAGGTTTATCCTTTCAATCATGTTTTGGATTGAAAAAATTTTTCAAAGTTCAAAAGAAAGGTTCAAATATGGTATGAGACAATCCCTCCAAATCGATGATATAATGTAAATGGGAGAAGTCTCCCTAATTTATGCCTTCTGATGCGAAATGCTTTTCAGTAAGTTGCGATGTGGGGTAAGCATTTATCCCCTTATTCAAGGGGTTAGCAGCAAAACAGAACGGACAATGATCCAGTTGAAACAGTTCCTTCTGAAGGACAAGACGTAGAACTGAGAAGAGTGAGGCCAATGTCCATCCTCATAACTGATGCAAAATTGTATGCTACTCGCTAACAGTAGTTTTTGCTGCTAGTTCACTACCCATGTCGGTTGGCTTATCATTAATGATCATATGAATAACTATAAATTCAGCTTCGGGAAAATCGCTGGGTGCTCGGTGAAGGGCCAACGTTCGGTTCTATCGCCAGTATTATCAGTTTCTATCGCTGTCATGAGCTACCGATTCGTGGAGCGGATCGAATGTTACTTAGTAAACCGGTACTTGTTACTACTAATACTAATCATCCATAGCTATTATTGTGATCATGAAGTAGTGTCCGTGAATCCAAGAATTTTTTCTACTCTCTCCCATTCTCCCCCTTCTTTTCCTTTTTCTCTCTCTCCATCTGTTTATCATCTCGTTGCATTTGATATCTTCAAATTCATTTTTTTAATTATCATATTTTTTATCCTACATTATTTAGCATGTCACTGCTTTATTTTGTTTATCTCTGAATTTATGATATTCCATTTACGATATTCCTATCTGCTCGATACAATGATGAACCACTGACTTTTCGAATTGAATTATTGAAAAAAATAAAATAAAATATAAAGGATGCAGTTCTTGATCCTGGTGCTATTGTTATTATTGTTGTTGTTGCATTTGCACAACAAACAGGTAGAAATGAAGTACCAAAGAACTTAGATACTAAAAATACCAAGTAGTTGTTGACAACGATGGGAAAGAATCGATCTCTACATCCCATTCATTTACTACCACGGCCTTAATTTTAAGCACAATCGTCTTTTCGGAACTGCAATTTCCATTTGCAGCCAAAAAACGTGCAATTGTGTGATTTATTCTGCGATCGGAAAAGGGAAACTTGTTGTGGTGACGGAGAGGGATGAGTTGACAATGTTGTTATTTAAACGTATGAAAACTATAGAGCTATGAACTATTTCTGGCTAAATAAAACGAAAAATCCCCTTCTTGTATGATCTACTATCACTGTGTCTCTTTTTTTATATTCAGACATTTTAAAAATGTCAATCAAAAAACCTGTTTAGATACGTCCGGGACTTTGGCATGGGATTGTCAGGTATTATTCATATTGGCTAAGCAAAAAAGCTACCCTTTCGTATGTCCAGTTATATTGTTTAAATTTAATTAATTGAATTTTTCTTTTGCAGACTTTCGCTCAATTATATAATAAGAAAATGATACAGGTTGAATAAGAAAGGGTAAGAATATATTGATGTGTAAAGCAGTTCCTAACAGTTCCCCTCTATCGGGTCATCCAATCTCTTTTGTTGTTACACCTCCCTCTCCCCTCCATTCCATTGTATCATTTCCTATTTTTTCGTCTACTTCTACCGTAACTGTCTCGAGGCAAATGGATGATGTCGGATTGTTGGTTATTGGACCAAAATTTCTGCAAGATATTGGTATCGTTCTGGCGAATGCATCTAAGACTGTTACGAATAAGCTTTATGTTCGAGTAGCTACTGAATTGGACCTTTTCGAGGTTTGGTTTGAAATTTAATCTTTTCCCATGAAATATATTAATCGGATGGTACTAACTGCGTCTACTTTGTGATAATTACGCAGTTGACTGTGCAATCCATTAATTTTCTCATTTGAATGTGAATAGCACAGTATAAAGAAATAGAAAGAATGTAATGGTGCAATATAATACTGCTGAAACTCATTGATATGAATTATCCATTTATTTATGAATGTATCATTCAAAGGATAGGATTTGCCTTCCAATTGATTGCTTGCAAATCAAACTTCTTTCTCTCGTAAAATCTGCTAAATAACTTCAGGTTTTGTCGAAGGTTTATATAGAAGGATCGAAAATTTGCGATACGTTGGATATTCGAGTAATTGTTGATGATAGTCGAGAAAGAATATTTAAAACAATCATTAGTGAAGATAAAACGATTGAGTGTAATCGAACATTTGACAAACCATACGGCGCCGTTGTGCTTGGCGGGACGTTTGATCGTCTGCATAATGGTCATAAGATGCTTTTATCAAGAGCTGTAATGGCAGCATCGGAACGTGTAGTATGTGGCATTACTTGTGGTGATATGATTAAAAGTATGACTTCAATCGAAAAGGTTTCAGCTGTATTGCAAGGTCTAACACGAGAGAATTCCTTTTATTCACATGTTAATTTTGGATATGCAAGCTCTAGTTAAAGTATTGAAGTTCAGTTTTGTGATAAATGGTAGAATGGTGATTTCTAATCAAAATATTCACAAAAGATATTTCCCATGACGATATTTGTTGGGCAAAAAAAAGATGTTATCTGCCAAGTATTTCAGAAAAGGTATTGTGGGAGCTAATGGAACCGTTTGAAAAAAGGGCAAAAGCTGTGCAAGAATTCGTAGAAGATATCAGCTGCATTGTTCGTTGTGAAGTGCATCCCATCATGGATCCATATGGTCCGTCAGTCGTTGATCCTGATTTGAGGGCAATTGTTGTTAGTAATGAAACGGAAAAAGGTGGTCATGCGGTTAACGATAGGAGGAAAGTAACTTTTCAATTCTTTTATAGGATTTAGATTAGTTTTTCTTAAGAATGATTGCTGTTTTATAATAAAGAAATAATTTTATTATGGATCAATGGTAAATTAATATGTGAAACGATTTATTTCTTCTTAGCTTTTTCCAAAGACATATTATTGCCTGATTGTATGACAGCTCCTCGATCAGATCTTGAAAACAAAGAATTGTGCCAAATGAACCAATCATTTCAGGAGAGGAATCTTTCAACTCTTGATTTAATAAAAATAAACTTAATCGATGGAAAGGATGAATTAATGGGGGAATATAAGTTGAGTTCATCTACACGACGTCGAGCATTACTGGGAACGTTTTTAAAACCACTAAAATTCGAGAAGTTTCCTCGACCATTTGTTATTGGTTTGACAGGTGGCATCGCATCCGGAAAAACGGACGTTGCAAATTTCCTTTCTGAAAATGGTTGTGAGGTATATGATACGAAGTTTATTGGCCTTTGACAAAGAATCATATTAATATGAAACTTTATAAATGTTCGTTTCATATTTCAAAATATTGTGATATACCTGAACTTTTGGATATTGTGAAATTTCCTTCTTTCAATATTTAAAGCTACGATTCAGTAATTGAGGTACGGTTCCCGAAAAAAGACTTGTGTATGCAAACAAACATTTGCATAGGTGTATTTTCGACGCAGTTCGTTTAATCTTATGCTTGTGCTTAATGATTTCTTTTGCAGGTGATAAATTGTGACAAATTAGCTCATGAACTTTACGAGAAAGGAACTGTTATAGCAACCAATATTGCTACAACATTCGGCGACCACATTGTGCAAGATGGTGTGGTTGACAGAAAAAAATTAGGAACTATCGTATTTGCTGATAAAGTACGTCCATCTTCATTCACAGTGATAGAAATGTCAGCATTAACTTCATGTTGTTTAGTATTTATTGAGCTTAATGAAAGCGTAGTACCTTCACTAGGAGAACAAGCGAATCTGACGATTATATCAGAAAGCAATTACGTCAGTAACTTACAACTTTCCAGGAAAAACTTAAATTGTTGAATGATATCATTTGGCCTTTTCTAAAGAATAAGGTCAAAGAAACCATTGCGCAAAGCAAAGCGGAATTTGTTGTTGTTGATGCAGCAATACTTCTGGAAGCAGGCTGGGATACTGATGGAATACTGCACCAAGTATGGAGTTGTATAATACCCCCAACTACTGCTAAAGAGCGCATTGTGGAACGAGACCATATTACACCCGAGGAAGTAATTTTTACGTGTTTGAATAATTATTTCGTTTAATTTTATGGATAATTTTCCCAACATTTGCACAGTTTACTGTCGCTTGAAGAGAAATTGCTGTACTCCGAAATATGCAGAGCTCGTTCATTTTTTTTTCTTTTTTTTATGAATAACAAAAGAAAACCTATATGATGTGCATTACAATGAAGTAAAGCTTAGCAGTTCCAAAATACATTACTTTTTACCCAAACATCGACAATTCTGACACAGTACCCGTCGAAGCATATAAAACAATACAAGACGGGACTTAATAACCACATGACATATATCGTACACTTCACTTCATGTTGACTTAGCGCTTCCTTGAGCTCTAATATTCCATCTTTGTAACTTCGATTTTTCTATTCATATGTCATATAGTAGCTTATATTTCGTTCAAACTTTATTTTTCATCTTCAAACCAATCCAGGTTTCATGAGATGAATAGCTGACAGTAGAATCTCTTTTCTAGACCATATTTTTCATATGGTGCGTTTGTTGGAGCTTGAAAGATTATTCCAGTATACTGATAAAATGACTACAGCATAGCAGTTTTTTTATAGGCAGAAAAGCGAATCCATTCACAAATGAATAATTTGGAGCGTGTAAAACGAAGTGATGTTGTGATCTGTCCATTATGGGCATATGAAGAAACGAGAAGACAACTACTTCTGGCTTTGTCCGCGCTACGATCATTTGCTAATCAGCGTCTTCGGAAATATAATTCCGCCACTGCTTGAGCCTTTCTGCTCTCTGGTCTTCAGTTTCTGCTCTACAACAAGACATTAAAATGGCCAAAATAAATGGACTGATATCAAGATTTCTGATGAGCCTGCTCCACTCTGACTACTTGTCCTACTTCGCAATACAAAAAAAAAGGTTCATCATATAGTGTTTTTACCAACGAATGAACTTTTTCTAATGGTTATTCACGTATTGTTTTATATTGTGAATTTTCAACTGAATGTAAATATCTGTGAAAGAAAAAAGAAAGAAAGAATGATATGGATCATTTCTATGTCTACAAAATATCGCTTTTAAAAAATCAGTTCATTTGGAATTTTTTCTAAAATCTGTTGATCAAATCTTACATTGCGTATTTCGTCTTCCCGTCCCACAGTGTTACTGAAATTTGTCGACCATCTACTACACGGTCATTGAGTGCACGCACAGCTATATCCGAATGCTCGACATTTTGGAATGTGACACAAATCACGCCTTCTGGATTATTCTAAAATAAAAGTTGCTACCTGATATTAAGTGGAATTTAAGATCAACTGCAAGTTACAAACGAAAAGTTAAGTTTGACCAGTTTAGCCCACACTTTTTGTAATAATGAATCTCCAGTTCAAGGCTATGCTGCTAACTATGAATACATGATGGGCTTGCCACTTCAAACTAAATCATCCATCAAACAATGAAAGTTGATATGTGAATGGAAAGCAAACATATAACTGAGAAGGTAAATTTACGTCATGAATGGTAACTTTTTTGACAGTTCCAAATCTCTCGCAAACTTTTTTAACTTCTTCTTCCAAATCCAGTAACAAAGTAGCGTTCTTCTGCAAAACAGAAAGTCAGTCTAGAGAAAGGATTTGTCTCGCTAGAAATGAGCGACTGAATTTTGACAAAAAACAAACCATCATCTGCTCCAATGTAAACATGTTCTTCATAACAATAGTACAGTCACTAATTGGACGATAGTTCCGTGGTTTTTCCGGTTTCCACTCGAAGATTCTGGAATTGTAAATGTTCATTTCGCCGAAATTTTACCTAAATATTTGTACTTAACAAGAATAATTACCTTTCCTGACTTTCGATAAAACGCTTTTTCTGGGCTGCTGTAAGTTTCTTTTTCTTTTTTAATGGGTCGAATTCTCCTTTCATTTGGAATTTTGCTTTTTCGACTGAAATAATTTTTCCATCCACGTTCCAGCCATCCAGGATATCTAGGGCCATGATGACTGATTCTTTCTGGAAAATTTAGATGTATTGTCTGGAGTTAATTCTAAGAAAGTCAAGCTTACCTTTATATAACAGCATCTGCCATCTCCCTTAACCGAACCGTCATCATTCTTATAGAGCTTTATTTTTAGTTTGTTGGTCCTTGCATCCCGCTGTATGACACCGCATTTGCTCATTAACTCCTAAAACTGTTCCAACATTAGTTCTGTCGTTTTTAAGGCTTAATCTTATTAACGTTTTTCACACTTAAAAAATTGATAAAAGATCTAGCTGTAAATAAAAAAAAATGAAAAACAATATTAGTAACGCGAAAACCTTGAACTTACGATAAACGATTCTTCGGTTATACTGAAGGGCAGATTTGAAACATAGACTGAAGTATTCCTTTCTTCTTCAAGTTCCACCCAACCTGAAAAATCCGATTATACTGAAATTTAAAATGATTCGAAAAAAAAAAGGTGGAAGGAAAGCTTGCAACCTTGCTGTTCCTTCTTGTCGTGCAATTTGTGCTTCACAGGTTTAGGATTTTCAGATTTTTCATCTTTTTCTTCCATGCTTGACCCTTGTTTTTGGCCAAAATCATATTTAATACCATAATTACTGTGATATTGGGCCAAAAAATCTTCATTTATCTATAATATATTTGCATAATGATAAACAGTTAATGGAAAGTTTGATTTCCTCTTTAAATCCTCCATAATTTTTCTCATTCGTAAAGTAAACATAACCTGATGTCTAACATAAACTTTATGCAATTGCCCGAATACTGAAGGTAAGGAATAGTATCAGATAATGTTTGTTTCGAATATGAAATTTTCATATTTTGACAGGTTGGACAAAGCGTAAGCGTATTTTGCCAAATATGTACTTCTACTACTGGTAACCATTGTTGACTGATTTGATTCCACTCCATAGTAACACCATCAACAACGCAACGATATGGATTACCACTTATCTCGCCAACCGTATCAACTTCATCCCACTTTTTCTTTAAGTCATCGCTACTAGCTGTGATCCATTTATCCTCCTCATACACCAGAAAACCACCATGACCATCTTCGCAAAACCATTTCCCATCGATGAATCTTCTTTCTGGTTCTGAAATCAAAACTATTATGGCTGTTGGTGAGCTGATTACTAAATCATCATTTACCTAATATTCCAAAGGAAAATTTCAAAATTTAAACCAGAACTTTTCCACAATTCTTTTTCGCTATCTAATCTATACAATAGCTGTCTATATAATACAGTAGTGGAAATCCAAGAAAAGCCAAAAATCAAAAATTTTGGTTCACATTAAGAATTATGATGAAATATGCAGAAAATATTTCGCCATTTATTTGAGTTACTTTTTCATTATTTATTCTGCACTTCCTTTTAATACTCTAAACAGGATAATCAAAGTGATTCAATGAAACAGCAAGCCTTACCGGTTTGACTCACAGATGCATCATTATTTTCTGAATTACTTCCAGTCTGTATTGTGCTGCAACAGTCGTGTTTCTCAGCCATGCTATTAGCATTCATTATCGTCAGTTTCCAGTGCTAAAAATTTGCATAAATTTAATCATATCACAAAGTAATCGCCAGCAGTGAACAGCTTAAACCTTTTCTAGTACGCACATTTGCGGACGACAGATCGTGCACAACATATATATATATATATATATATATA